AGAACAACCCATAGAGAACTATTTTTTTGGACTCTGAGAATTTTAGAATTCTATCTTTCCTTTTCATGGATAAAAAAAACCTCAGTGTCTGGAGAGTGGCTTCTGTAGGCAACATCAATACTATTAGCACAGCCCTGATCTCAGTCACAGTTGTAGTAACTAACATCTATTGAGTGCTTATTGTGTGTTAGACCCCCCCCCCCCCAGCTCTTTAAATGTCTGGTAGCATTTATCCCTCATGACAACTTTATTCAGTAAAGGACTGTTATGATTGTCACTTCATGGGATGAAAATCTAAGGCTTAGTGAAAATAAGTAATTTGCCAAAGGCTGCTCAACTAGTAGGTGGCAGACCTGCAGTCTCAAGCCAGCCTGTATCATTCCAAAGCTCTCATTCCTTCTACCAGGCTCTACTGCAGTGAGCTGGTTGGTCACCCAGTAAGGACACAAATCCAGTTTTTTTATATGCCTCCCACAGGCTCCATCTCTCCAGATGCAGATTATTTCTTTACAGTTACATTAGGGGTCAAATCTGAGACCTCTTTTTCCCAAGGTGGTCCCTAGCCAGTGATAATTTATGTAATTTATTGTCAAACTAAAGTAGAGATGGAAAAATAAAAGCAAAAAACACAAACCAACTGATCAACCCCAAATACCACTTGACTCACCAGAACTGCCAGGTGGGGCATTTAACTCTGGGCATCTGCTGGGTATTGTTGCTCTAAATCCCCAAGAGGAAGTGGAATTTAGACACAGTTTTGTTTGCTAGTGACTGTGAGGATGGTAGCATGAGTGAGAGCCTTTACACCTGTCTCAACCTCACCAATTCAAGCCACTTTTACTACTGCCTTGGAGGAAAAGAACCAAAGGTCTGTTCCAAGCCAATCTGTGAGGGAAGCTCTCTGTTCTTTTCACAGTACCTTGCAGGAGGTCCCCAACAACCAAAGGTTGCATGCCTTATATTTCAAGCTGCTCTGAGAACAACAGTGCTTGTTAGATGGGGTAAATGACTCTTTTTCTAGTTGTTCCTTAACCACAAGCAAATACTTTGAGCCTTTCTGACCACATAATAGATGTGACCTTCTACTCAAGAGACAAAAGTGGCATGAACTGCTGTACAAATTTCAACAAAGCTTTCCTTGGTGTAAGGGAGAAAGTGACAATTATGGCATGGCAGACACACGATAGGTTTGACATGTGATTAGATCCAGAACGTCTGTTACATGGGAGAAGGCTCATAAGAAAGTGCTAGGCGCACAAAGCAGAGAACTAAGCATGCAGTAGATCCCTGACAGACAGGAGGGTAGTATCTCTGCACTTCTAGGAATGCTCAAGTTGGACTATCATGGCACCTACAGCAGCAGAGTGTGTGAGAACACGTGATTGCCCTATGACATCATGGCTCAGAGTTGCCGATGAAAAACAGTACTAATTTTAGCAAAGAGTCATTAAATCTTTATACCTCTCTCTCCCTTTCCTTATTCTTAAGTGTTGGCTCCCTTTTGGGGGGCCACTTTTGGCTGGGAAACTAAGTATTTTATCGCTTCATAAAAAACGACTGTATCAGTGACATGAGCAGAGATCAACAAAGCCCCACGGGGAGGAACAGCTGTGCAGCCCGCTAAGTTCTGCCACCGGGCAGACAGGGCAATGGTCTGGAGTCCTTGCCTCAGCAGCGCACCAGGTTGCTATGTGGCATAGGAGGCAAGGCTCACTTTTAGAAGAGGAAACAAAGGATGAAGAGTCATTGAATTCACCGAATCCCAGCTGTGTTATGAGCATTTGACAAGGACAAAGAGAAATAGTGAGTGTAGTAACAATGCTTATCTTGGGCACTGGGGAGCACTAATGAGTTTTATTGTTTTCATTACAGCCTTTTAACGTATCCACATTTTCAAATTAACATTTGGAAGCAGAGAAAGTGATAACAACATAAGAAAACCCTTTGAAGAGAATAGGGCCAGATGTTCATTGTCTGCTCAGTATCCTCTGTAGTCATGGCAGCTGGCTGATGTGACGTGATGAAGAGTGTAAGAGGAAACAAGGGGTGTGGGGAGAAGCAAAGAAAGGAGATGGGAAGTCAGACAAGGAAAGCAGAGAGGACTCCTGCAATTAGATGAATGGTAAGGAGTTGGGCATTCCTGAGAAAAAAAATAACCGAGGCCTTGAAGTTATTAAAGTTGAACAATTATTTTGTGTCCTTACTAAATATTGTGTGTGTGTCCAGGAGCTGTTATAGAGGGGGGAGCAAAGGACAAGACTGGGTGTCCTACTCTATCACTTCCTACCTCAGTCCTTTATGGCATAGTCTCTCACTGAATTTGGAGCAAGGCTGGAGGCCAGCAAGCCTCAGGGATGCTCTTGTCTCTACCCTGGTAGCTTAGAGGTTATAGGGGTGTGCGGCCACACTCAGCTTTGTATTTGGATGTTAGGGATTCAAACTCATGTCATCATGCTCATGCAGCAAAGCTCTGTCACCTACTTGAGCCCTCTCTCCAGCCCCTATTTAGTGTCATTTTTTTGTTGTTCATGCACATTTCTATCTTGAAAGGGAGTAAGATTCAAACTAATTATCTAAACAGGATTTTGCTTCTAGTTAATATAAGCCCCAATCCTAGGATTAACAGGAAAAATAGGATAGAGATCTCAGTGACTATATATAATAATATTTTATATAACAACAGGAATTAAAAATGTGTGATTTTTATACTAAGAATGCCCTTGTTTTTCTTCTGAGGACTTCTAATTTTGGACACAAAGGTGTTGTTTTGATGTCACTGTACCCCTTTTGACTTCCTATGGCATCATTAAATCTGTAGTGGCTAGAAAGTAGTTGCTCAAAGACTTGATTCCATTGTCTGATGGGAGAGAGACCTATCTTAGAAAGTCTCTCCTGTCTACGTTGAGCCCACCCCTTCCTGGTTTCTCTTGGAATTCAGAAGAGCTGTACAAGAAACAGCCCCACGAACTCCATAGGAAGCCCAGAGCACCTTGAGCTGAGCTGTAGACTCCTGCCCCAAGCAGCTCCCCTCTAGCCTCTCCTACTGCTAAGTCTTAATTTTTACAGCTTTGTCTAATTATATCTTCAATGAAAACCCTATTTGATATTAGCTTCAAACTTCTTTTTCTTCTTTTTCTGTTTTTATAGCCACCTGTCCCAACATTTATGTGTGTGCTGCATTAGATATGTTAGAATAACACAGGGTATAGACCGAACAGGCACCCTCCTCCTTTCAATGTAGCTTTTTCATTTCTTTCTCTCTTTTTTTTTTTGCCTTTGGATAATAAGAAAAGGGCCAAAAATGTTACTCCCACAGAGAAGAGTGGGTAAAAATCAGAGAGCAGAAACAAAGGCTAAATTTTCCCCATTACAAACATTTTCTTCAAGTTGTTAACAACAATGCTTTCATTTCAAAACCCTCTTCTGTGGCCATTTCTTTGCTGAAAATAAAACTGTGGGGAAATGGATCTATCTCTCCCAGAAATAGATATATACAATTTCACAGTCATGTATATGTAAGACTTTTAGTCTCTTTATGACAGATTTTACTCCTTTGAATTGGGATAAATATGCTTTTCCCTGTTATAGGTATGGGTAAAAAATGTATGAATAGAATAACTTTAAAATAGGGTTCAACTGAATTAGTTATAATTATCATAGTTGAAAGTACTTCAACTACTCAATTTTTGTAAAGCAAAGCCAAGCAAAAACTTAACACCTTATTTCATTTTATATCACTTAACTTTTAATATTCTACATTTGTGTAATGTCAACACAAAGCTAAATTAAACTAAAAATTAAATGAAGCTGTAAACTATCTGTTCTTTCTGTTCCTTTAATGAGCTTACTTTTATGATGTATGTACTATATGGTTCCTAAAAGTTAGTTAATAATGGGAAACTCAAATCACACATATAGTTTAGAATTCTAAGATAGAAAGAACACAGCATACTACTTTAAATGTCAACAATGGAAGAAAAAATCCTCAGCTTGTATCACTTAGAAGGTACAGATAGAATGCTCTCCACCTACACCACCCACGCAACAGCCCAGCTGTTCAGAAGTTTACTTTCATGCACATATAATTAACAAATGATGATTTAAAATGTAACATAGAAATCATTTATAAGAAAGGATGTTTTGGCATTTGGTCTTTGTGACTGGCACTTGCTTTTGTAGAGAAGGGTTTTCTTAGATGTTGTCTAATAAGTTGTGGACGAGTAAGCTACAACTATTAAGAATCACTTGCCAGTGTTTGAAGAGCTAAGTAAAGGCACCATGCACGAGCAGATTCTTCACCTGCGTACCCACCATCACTCATCATCCAGACACTTCATTAGTCCGGTTGACTTCTGATCTTGCAAATAATCTCAGGGGCCAATTATATATTTTTTTTCCAAAACAAACATTAGTGTGTGAAAGTGTTAAAGATTTAAATCTTTAGACCTGCTAATTAAAAAGATCCTCAAGAAAACTGTACTTGGAAATGAGCCCTGGCTTCTACTTAGCAAAGGCTGAGCTCGTTCAAAGGTAGCAAAACTGTTTTGAGGCTGATGCTGACCCTAATTAATTGTGTGAATTGATTATGCTAGAAGGGGTCAGCTATAGTCCTGACATGCAGCCTTCTGTGACCACATCCCTGATCAGAGACAGGGAAAAGACTGGGAAGAGCTGGGAGAAACACTATGCCATCATGTTGGCCAAGACACCAAGATGTACACCAGACAAGACTTTGTCAAGGAGAGAAACAAGATGTCCGAGGAGAAAGAGAAGACTTGGTTTTGAAGGACACTATACAGAAAGCAAGTCCGTAGACCCTGAGGTAGCATCACAGAACAGCAGGAGCAAGGAGCATGGGTACCACTAATATACAGCTGGAGGGGGGCACACTGGACAGGAAAATGTCATTTATTTTCAAGTTAAACATTCATTTTCATCTAAGAAGCTAGATGGAAACCTGATTTATGTTTCTGATAAACAAACTGGTAAACTGGACTGACCTGGCTGGACAAGGATCCAAGTTGCATTCCTGAAGCTTGGGTTTGGGTTTGATGTTCTCTGGATAGTAGTGACAGTACTGGTCAGCAACCACACGGCTGCTCCGGAGATCATAGCACTCAGCCGACGTCAGCTGGTAACCTGTAAACATCAAACCAACCAGGTCGCTTAAGGCACATGTCAGCACAGTATACTTCTGTATGATTTTGGGCTTTCTCCCATTTATGGAAATTATTCTCATTGCCTAAGTCATTTCCAAGAGAAAACAAATACATAATTGGAAGACTCAATAATGTTGTAGGCCTCAAATTCTGTATTTTCTCAAGTAATCCATTCATTTTAATAAATTATATTGAAGGGCTTGAGTTATACAAGAACATAGATTATAAAATTCTGAGATAAGAAATATTGTTTGTTTATTTTATATAATATAAAAACATAACAGAAAAAAACCATTAGTTTTTTTTGTTTTGTTTTGTTTTTTTAAACTAAGCTTGTTATACAAGGATGCTATATTGCCTCTGCATTGCTAGGGCCTCAAAGAAGAAAAAACTCACAACTCACTAGGAAAGTAAGCAACAAGTGAGTAAATAAAATAAAAATAAATCTCAATGTGCCCTCTTGGGACAACAGAGATTTTTGAATTAGGTCCCACAAGAATCAGGTACTACCAGGCTGCCTAGATTCAACCTGCATGAGTTGAACTGAATAAATAGACATTAAAGTCTCCATAATAGCTATCAGGAATCTCACTTTCTTACAGAATTAAAACAACAAAATCAAACACAACAAAAAATAAAAATCAATAATCAAAATTGAAAGTCTTCCCAAGCCTTCTCTCCTGCTACCTTTTACTTTCTCCAAAATACTTTGCCATTTCTCCTCAAATCAAGTATCTGCCTCATATTTCATAGGCTTCCTTTTCCACTGTTTTCATATATCTCTTTCCAAAAAGCTGCTGAGAAATATTTAATTTTATTTATTATGTTTTTGATCTTTCTGACCTGTTTTGTGAAGTTATGGAAAACAGTAATCAAGACTTAGACTCTTGGAGTAAAAATAAGTAAACATCAAGAATTTTAAAAGTTCCTCCCCACCCCTGAATATTCTTCCTGGCAGGCAGATGAGTTATTACAAAATATGTATTCAAAGACAAGATCGAAATCATTGAGGGGCTTGCAAAGGCTTTAGGAAGTCAGAAGGAGGCTTTTGAAGTCAGATTTCCTGGCTTGAGGCTGTGTTCACAGACCACCCACAAAAGTTAATTGTTCATTAAGGACCTTAAAAAAGACCTTTAAAAATTCTACTGGGAAGATGAAAAGCATAGAGAGCAGAAAAAGCAATGGTCAGGACACACATCCATCTAATATTTTGCTTTATGGGAAAGTTAAGCAAAATGACATTTTAGAGTAGTCAACATACTTTTACTTTTTGACTCCATCGTCTTCCAAAGCAGCTAATTTTATAAGCTAAACACTTTGGAGTTTTCCAGAGAATAGTTTCTACTCAAGGACAGAATTTATCAGGTGGTAAAACATGGGAAGAAATAAGAAATGATTAAACTGAGGGTATGTTTTTGAAATCCTTGTTCTTCAGCCTAAACCCACTGCTTCAAAGTTCTTACACACCATGGAGTAAAGATGTAGAATGAAAGCAAAGGACCAACATGGTATGCTGACACTGCCCTCTGAGGCTTCTCAAGGCTGTGAACATTCCTTACACCTGGCAAAGTGGCCAGTCACCTGAATCTGAGAGCAGGAAAGCACATGGGAACCCACAGCTCTCTTCTTGGGTTTTAAGACTGCTCCATGGAGAGAAAGGAAGACACTACATCCCTCACACTCCATGGGGCACTTTTGCTTCTTCCTGGGCTTCCCAATAAGATTTCCTAAGAACAGAGGCCTGACACTGGAAAACCATGGATAATGCTGCTTTTCCATGTGAGTAAAATGAGACCCAATGTGGTTGGAAATAGAAGAAAGTAACACTAATTGCTTTATTTAATAGTTAGCCATTGTCAAGGTCACTGAAATTATACTGTCACAGAAACTCTGTGAGAAAATGATACAGGTTGCATACAATTGAATTGCTGTTTTATGAAAGGTATGGTTTACATTTAAAGAGAAAATATATTGCATTAGTTGCCCTTTCCTTTAAGTCTGTTTTCTGTATGGCTCATTCATAGATGTATAGAAATTTATTCTCATGAAACATCAACATAATTGGTAGCTTTTTTGTTTTCTTTTTTCAGGTCTCTCTATCTCTATCTCTCTATCTATCTCTATCATCTATCTATCTATCTATCTATCTATCTATCTATCTATCTATCTATCTATCTGACTTTTGAGGTTGGAATTACAGGCAGGCAACCACATCTTCCCAGTATTTACATAGATTCTGGGCATCTGAACTTGCATTCTTTTGCTTTCATGATAAGCTTTTAACCCACTGAGCCATCTCCTCAACTGGCAGTTTGTTTTTAAAGAAAGTAATTTTCTATTCAGGTCAGCTGAATCAATTGTAGAAATACTATTGCACTGAAACACAAACATACTTGATAGTCATTTGGCTCATTATTTTTAAGTTAAAATCTGTGCTGATTAGGCTTTTCATCAACTTGACATGAGCTAGGGCCAATTGAGAAGAAGGAGCCTCAACTTAGAAAATGCGTCCCTAAGATTTGCCTGTAGGCAATTCTGTGGGGGCACTTTCTTGATTAATGATGGATATGGGAGGCCAATGCACTGTGGGTGGTGTCACCCTGGACAGGTAGTCCTCAGTGGTATAAGAAAGCAGCTGAACAAGCCGTGAGGAACAAGCTAGTAAACAATGTTTATACATGATCATTGCTTCAGTTCCTGTCTCCAGGTCCCTGCTTGAGTTCTTGTCTCCAGGACCTTGCCTGAGACTGTGTTGAGAGTCTGTGATGTAGAAGTGTAAAACAAATAAGCCCTTTCCTTCTCAAGTTGCTTTTGTTCATGGAGTTTTATCACAGCAATAGAAACCCTAACTATGACAAAATACAACACTGCTTTTAGAACCACGTTTAGTGCTTTGTTCGTATTATATAGACAGAAATAACACAGCTATTGGGTGAATTGTGTCATATATTCTTACTGTTTTAAAAACACTGATGGACACTCATTTACCCCAATTTTGAGGTACTATGATTTTTAACTATTGTGAATAATTCCAATGTGGATGAATTATTTAAAGTTAGTCAATCAATCAGCATCCATGAAACTAGAGAAAACAACTTTCAGATGTACCAGTTTTCAAAGGAATATATATGTAATTTTAGACCTATTAAAATAGAAAACAAAAGATATCCCACAAATGTTGATGATCTAAAATACTCACCCATTTAATTTCCTGGAAAGATTTTGGTAATATATGCAGCCACAAAAACAAACAAACAAACAAAAATCAAAACAAACCATAAAACAAAACTCAAACTCCTTTATCTGGTGGTAACCTACTGCTGGATTGTGAAGGACAGAATGGTATTATGTTATTTATTACATTATAATAGTATAACATCTAAAAGAACCAAGCAGTCTCCTACAGGGAAATGACTAAATTACTAATAAAATAATTCAAAGAAATGGTGACATGCCTACTATAATTATGAAAAACAGAAAATGGGGAGAAAACTCTTTTCTAGTAACACAAGATGCTGTGCAGGACATAGATGAGACAGTATGGGGACAGGAATTTATGGGGTCTTTCAGTGTGCGGTGATGGGCGCAGGCAAAAATGAACTGAGTTTAAGTCAACAATGCAGCATTTTTTTTTCTTTTGGTTATAAACTTTCTCTAAGGAAGCAAGCCTGACAAACATCTTTACTTGCTTCCTGAAGAAGTGACATCACTCCACTAGACAAGTCTATGCATAGGTGAAAGCAAGCGCCGCAGGGTTAAGCTGCTGACAGATATGGTATTACTAGTCTTGGCTTTCCATGATGCCAAGGAAAGAGGTGTTTGCTATGAGCTTCCACAAAGGAAAAGCTTCCTGGGGCAGCTCAGGGGTGGCTTCAGGAATCAGCTCCATTCAGAAGGGACCCCACTCTTACAACATCCAGCTTTTTCCTCATCGAGGAGGCCTGGGCTAGCCAGGATGAGAGAGCACCATTACCTCCTCCACAGGTTGCTGAGCATGGAAAGAAGTCCGTTTCCCTCCATCGGTGGATGATAGGCTGGTAGAAGATGAACTGGACCGTGCTGTCTGCAGGCCCCGAGTCATGGATCTGCAGGAACAAAACAGGAAAATTGGGAGTATGGTGGGAGTGTGGTTGACTTCTAGGTTCCTGATAAGCTTGATGGAGAATGCATGGTGTATGGAGGTCTTGGCTATGTGAGGGTCTGAATGGGCCTCACGTAGGAAGATACTTCCCCTCACCCTGCTATGTATCAGAGAATGGTTCTCATGGTATTTTTTTTTTTTTTTTTATCATTCTTACCTCTACAGAGCTGATAACTAAGAAGTATGGTGAAATCTCTGTTTGAGACTACACCACAGTTCCTTTCCCCTTCTTTTTTTACTTTCCTGGTAGAGACCATAGAATTATGTGGACTTCTAAACATAGGTTCAGAAATAATCAGTATAGTCAGGTATGGTGATGTACACCTTCAATCCCAGCACTCTGGAGGATCTCTGTGAGTTCAAGGCCAGCTTGGTCTACATATTGAGTTCCTGGACAGCCAGGGCTATGTAGAGAGACTCTGTCTCAAAAACAAAACAAAACAAGGCCAGAAATAGACAATTTATTTTAAGGAAATCATAAATGCCATACACTGCAAAAAATAAAAGATATTATCTGTAGTTGAGAAAGAGAAAACATCAAGAATTAAGATGTTTTTCCCATTTAGGGACATGCATGGGTCTTCCTGTCAGGGTAATGATTCATATATGTGAATGTGCTAAGTCACCAGTTGGAAGTCAGTTAAGTGCAAATTCTTGGGCCCACGCCCAGAGATTTAGGCAATTCTAATGTAGATATTCCAGAATACTAAACGTCAAGATACTAAGTTGTAAAAGCAACTACTTTCAAATAAAACTGGTGCTTTTGGAAATTAAAACTTGTTTTTAAAAGAGGGAATATGAGACAGTTAATTTTTAATGGTTCCTAAAATTACAAGGTTGAGCAAACATACTTCAACTACAAGAGAAGAAAAAGTACCTAACGTGAACAGTGAATTTCATGAGGACTGAATGATGTGACAGTCAACATTTACACTGCTGGGCCAGGCTGGGATTGTTTGTTATATTAAGAGAGATTCCAGGAATAATGACAGAATTACTTCTCACACCAGCTATATATTGTGATGACTAGAAAAGCAACAGAGTCACATGGCCTAAGCCTTTACATGTTCTTAAGTGTCTCTAGTGTCTCAAATACTGCCCTTTATTTAGCCAAATAATGGAGCTGGCTTCCAGACTATTTTAAAGATAGTCCTGTCTCTCTACTGCTGATCTTGGTAAGTAGCATAAATACCTAGGACACAAGAGAAATAGGAACAGTATATAAGAAGGGTAAGAAAATCTGCATGTGTCAAACTCCAGACTGATTACAGAGTGTAGATGAGAAGATGAAACTGCTCTTCCAGGAAGTCTGGGAGATGCAGAAAGGAGGGAGACAGAGAAAGGTCAGAAACCTACAGACCATCTCATTTGACACTGGTACTCAGATCACTGAACCTTTAAGGCCTTTTCTAATTGGAACAAACAGTGATAAACCTATCCTAAAACACACACACACACACACACACACACACACACACACACACACACATACACACACACAAAACAAAAAACAAAAAACAAAAACAAAAAACAAAAAAAAAACAACCAAACAAACAAACAAAAAAACCAACCAAAAAAGCAGCTGATGTGGTAGTGTCTTAACCAGAGGAGTGCATTGCCTATACATCAGTCCTCCACAGTCTCATTTATCAGATGCATGGTACCTAACTGCTGGCTTACGGATCCAGCATTCATCTCATTATTTGCTAAGCTTTTGTTTGATTGTTTTACTCCAACATTCCCTTACTCTTTTTTAGAGATGTGATTATCATGTAAGAAGCTATTAAAAGAGGACTTTCACTTGAACCCAAAACCCCTGAAAAATCGGGAGAAAAAATCTGAGACCTCTTTTCTATTTATTCTCTGCTAATATGGTATATAAAGTATATGATATGTTTCTACCAACTGCAACCCATCTAGAATCACAAGGGCACTTGCCGCTCTGAAAGCACTGTCACTGAGGTGGTTGACATTGTGCGTACAGGTCCAAGATGCACAGCAACAACTCCCACAGAGCTCTCTTTTATTCTTCTGCCCTTAGTAGAACAGCAATAAGCTGCAGCTGTGGCAGGTGAGGGGACCCACGACAACCAACACCCTATCTACCACCTATTTTGTTAGAGTCTTTTTGAGAAGGCTAGCAATGGAGGCCTGGGCACACAATGGTAGGATCGTAACTAGTTATGGTTAAAATGAGGAGGCCTTGCCCTGGAATAGCCACATGGTGTCCAGTTGCCTTCAGATCTATTAAAAGGACAAAGAAGATAGAGTAAGTCCCTTTATGGGCTCCCTGGAAGCTACTGATAAAACTCTCCATAGCCCGTGGGGAGGGAACGGATGGCAAGAAAGCATTTTGGTTTTCAGAGGAAGGGTCAGCAGACACCGTGGCGAAGGAAGGAGGGGTGGTGGCTGCTGGAGAGTGTTGTCCTGTGTGAGTTCCACGGAGAGGCTAAAGAATGAGTGTAGGTTCTGAGGCTGAGAACTTATATTTGAAGAGATCAAAAATGAAAAGGAACCCTTTCAAATGGATTAAATGAATCATGAGAATGAAGAGCTCTTGCTTAATAATCTTGCCTGGTTTTGTCCATATATGTTACATTTCTGCTTTTCCTGTTTCCATAGTCATATTTTTTGTTTAACAATGACAGTGGAGGTCAGCCCTTACCACATTCCTACCATGGCTGAGGTACATTTTATTTATATTAAATTTCATCTCAAGATGGTGATTTTTCACATTTAAGTTACAATGATAAAAAAAAAATGAAGCCCAGGTTCAGTGGTTTGTTCAAGGTTGCACAGCTAAGAAAGAGCAAAGTAGAATTTGAATTTGGGTCTATGTATCTCCAAAGCTGCTGCTCTCTTTAGGGTACCACAGTGGTGCCATGATGAAATGTACATTCCCCTTTTTTCATACCCTCATTCCTACTATAAATGTTTCTTTCAATTTTCATTTTAAGGTAAAGACAAGTGCTTAAAATAAAGATAAGGCTGACATGATGTGTATTTCTGGTGGTCTAACAGTTGCTCATGGAGATGGGCCAGCCATAGTCTTTTGTTCTGGTTTTCTTCATTCTGAATCACTCAGCCCTTGTTATCATTAGCTCTGCAGTTCCACAAACCCTAAATCCTCAGACATCACGTGCTAGTCCCCAAGAGTATTTGCAAAGATTCAGTTTGACACCTTAGAATGTTGGTGCAGGGAGCGGAACACATCTGGCATATGTAATTTTGACCTTCTTATGCTAATAAGAATAAAAAATGTTCTGGACCAAGCTCTTCTTCCTCTAATTGCAAACATTTCAGGGTTTCTAATTCAGCTTAAGGACGTCTCACACTGAAAATAAATGGGAAGCTCATAGTTGACAGCACCTTAAAGACGGAGTTGGAGGGAGGCACAAGTGTGTGTGGAGAGGGGAGATGGTTGACCTCTGAGTCTGAGTCCAGTTCCAGGAACAAAGGAGACACCATAAACACGTGAAAACAGCATTATTCCACAGTGGTCCCCAGATGAAAGACCCTGAAAGCGCCCCTTCCTTCTCTATTGAGAAAAGGGCAACTTGTGAGCCTCTCTATGTTACCCAGCTAAGTACCCCCTTCTCCCCATCCCCCACTCCCTCTGATGCCAGAACCTCTGTCCCAGACAAACAGGTGGCATTGCTGGCCTCCTCTCCCCTCCCCCACCATGCTGCAGGGAAGCTGCTACTCTGGATGTACAAAGGGAAGCCCTGGGTGAGTGGCCACCCATGGTGTGAGCTGACTGGACTGCAGTGGCTCTTGGGGCATTCTGTCTCCCTAGAGACTTGGGAAGGCTTAGAGATTGTGGGAATGAGCCAGCCTACTTCCTAGAACAAGGAGTAAATGGAATAAAACCCAGGTACCTGCTTCTTAAATGTCTTGGTCTATTGAATTCGATGAAGGGCTGTTTTGGCAATTGGCAGAATACTACTTCCTCAAGTGCGTGAGAAAAAACGTTTTAAATTCTCTTGTTTGAGTTTTCAATGTCAGGCAAGAGTAACCCAATCTTTACGGCACCAGTTGTCTGGGAATTAAGTGGGGCATCATTGTTCCCTCATTGCCTCTCTCCACAGCCTGTCACCTCATGTTCCTCTTGATCATCACTTCTTTCTTTGTCATCCTCTCCAATGTTTGGCATAGAGTAGGTGCCCAAACAGTTGCTAAATAAATCGCTGTATCAGTGAACAAAAGGCTTCTATATGAATCATCATCCTGCTGAGTACTTTTGGAATAAGCTATGGTTTGTGATAAGGTCTTAGGATCACTGTCATATTTTCAATACATGTGACAATTATTTTAAAGACATTGTTTAGCTTTTCACCAAATGATACGTCTCATGAAATGAAGCAGAGCACTGAAAAGCGACCTCTGCCTAAGACCACTCTCGACCCTCTATCGAAGGCTACCTCTTGTGCTGGCAAGATGGCTGAGAATGTAAAAGCCCTTGCTGAACAAGCCTGACAATCTGACAGAACTGACTGTTGAAAGTTGCCTTTGACCTCCACACATGTACTATGGTACATATGAGAATGCACAAACACATATAATAATAACAAATAAAAAACAAAAAAAAAACCCCTATCTCCATAGGCAGGGTAGTATGCAGATAGGGCTTGTAAGAAGTGCTAGTCATGTAAAGAATTGTGGTGGGATTTTGATGGGGCTAGTGTAGAATCTGTAGATTGCTTTTGGTAAGATGGCCATTTTTACTATGCTAATCCTACTGATCCATGAACATGGGAGATCTTTCCATCTTCTGATATCTTCTCCAGTTTCTTTCTCAACCCATTTATCGTTTGTATGTAGGACTACTGAATTTTTTTAAGTTAATCTTGTATCCAGCTACTTCACTAAAGGTGTTTATCAGCTGTAGGAGTTCCCTGGTAGAATTTTTGAGGTCATGTATGCATACTAACACATCATCTGAAA